TTCTCAAATGAAGGGGTTGTAGTGTTGAAACCAGACATGATCCTGTTTTGGAAGCATTGTTCAGAGGGACGGGAAATGTGAACAGAGGACAAGTCTCTTCAGAATGTTCTTTATCTTTTTCCTGTTAGAAACAGACAGCCTGTCTCAACTCAACTCTCCCTTACTCTCAAAGCAAGGGCCTACATGTAAACCCAGAGGTCAGAACATGAGAACTCAACCATCTGCCTTATTTGTTGTTTTTTTCCTTTGAAAGATGGATCTTATTTTGTGAGGCAGTCATATCTCCCTAGCAACTTGTCATGCTTCTGATCCCAAACCCTGACTCTTGCGTGTTCATGATGTTCCAAAAGCCTAGCACAGTGGCCTGGGCATACAAGCATGCTTTGTTTGCAACAAACATTTATCAGAAATGCTTTTGAAGCCAGGACTTGTGGTAAGATCTTGTGATCCCAAGTACTTGGAAGTCTAAGGTAGCTGGATAGTAGTTTTCAGGACTTCCTGGATTACGAAGATTTGAGACCAACTTGTGTAACTTGTGAGACCCAAACTCAAAACAAAATTTAACAATAGTACTAGTTCAGTGGTGGAGCGCTTGGTTAGCATGAGGGAGGGGCTTTGGATCAATCCCTAGATCTCAATAAAAGCTGTTTTATAATCCTGACATGATTCACGAACTGTGTAAGGTAGATCGGGATCTGTACATCAGCAAAACCAACGCAGCCTTTCCTTTAATACACTTTACATTGTTGAAACAGGATACAGAAATCAGGGTGCAATGTGAATCTGTAATAAGAAATCGTATACATTAATGACATAGAGTAATTTTTTCCCTGAATGATTAATATTTGCATAAAGATTTGGGTCATGAATAAAAGTCAGCCAGGAGAAATCAAGGACACAGGATGAGACAGAAGCATTTTGTAGGAGAGGAGCACGTGCTAGTACTAACAGAAAGAGGCAGGCTGTATGCAATGTTAGAGGTCAATGCAGCTGAGAAAAGGAGAATGAGGTGGAACAGACGCCGAGACAACGCTGAGACTGGGAACAGTGGATTGTCTAGATCCCACACTGTAAGCCTAAGAGCAGGAAAGTGTTACAGAGGGTTTAAAGCAGGAGAGCTACATGGGTTGCCTTTAGGGAAGATGACTTTAGCCACAGGGTAGGGCTGGATCAGGAATTTATCTTTCACAACTTAATGGCTAATGGTCTTTCCTGCTGGAACACTCATTTAGGTCATAGCTTAGGCATGGCACAACCTTTGAGAAAAGAATTATTGTTAATAACTATGGATGGGACCTAAAAGTGAGTCTCTTTTCCTATTTTGTTTTTCACTTTCTTGCCTGTTAAAAAATAATATCGACCAAATGTCTGCCAAGTACCCTCCTTTTACAAAGTCAGCCCTTTGGGTCATCTGTTAATTCTACACCGCTGCTGTGTTGCTGTTTTTAGGCTGATTTGTTACCTTTCAACCCCACTTACAGAGGATGATGAATGGAAAAAGCTAAAGATTTATTGATCAAAGCACAGCACCAAAGACTATTGATTATTTGATTAGTAAATGGATAGTTACATCGTTAACAAGATGCCTAGGGAGGCTTACTTGATGAGGGATTAAAAAAACCCTGAGCAATGAGTAATATTTCTTGCTAAATAAATTATGTGCATGTGGCAAAGGGCCATTGGGGTGATGTCATCTATATTTTAACACTCAAGCTATTTAGCCAAGAGTGGTAGAACATGAAAACTAGTCCCAGGATTAGAGAATCAGAGGAGGAGGAACATGAGTTCAAAGCCAGCCTGAGAAACAGAGACCTTCTGCATTAAAAGGAAACAAGCAAGCAAATAAACTTACGTGGAATACTGATAGCCCAGTGCTTTACCCTCCAGTTTGTAAGAACTAGACAAATAAATAGGAGAGAAGAGTAATTCATATGATTAATTGGCTACCAATACATTGCTTGGTCTTAGAAAGTAATTTTCCTTTATGAGATACCTATCCTGGTTTATAATAGGAGGATTATATCTATAAGAATTTCTAATGAGTCTCTTTTAAGTACCTTGTTGTGTCATAATTTGCTTTGGAAGCAAAGATATCTCACTATGTTTTCATGCTTTGGAGGGTCGTGGTCCAAATGTATTGATTGTTTGTTTCTACTGTTTTTCATTATTACCTAATCCTTCATACTTTCATATTTACTAGAGGTAAGTCTCATGGCTCTGGAACTCAGTGCCCTACTCTGTATGCAAGAGATATACACAGGAGTTGCTGAAGATTTCCTGTAAAGAGGCATATAGTACGTTTTATCCTTTGTGATACATAGAGTCCCTAGGATAACTGATCAATTCTGTCTCTATGGTCATATATAATACATAAATGAACGAGTATATCTAATTTCTCACAAAGTTTTATTTACAAAAGCAGAAAGTGGAATGATTATGCCTCACACACCATACTTTTTCCCCTCAACTTGTAATACTCTTACTGTTTGAATTTTGTTTGAATTTCTTCTTGATCATCTATCCAAATGGTTGTTCCCTTCCATGCTCCTTTTGTGTCCTGTCTGGATCTAAAACTCTCTCAGTCTCCCAGCTGCTGGGATGCCTTTTTCACAGGCTAGTTTTGTTTTTCTTAGTAACTACCCTTATTTAAATCCTCTGAAGCAGTGGTTAGCTGGAATTCTCCTTGTCTTCCTCCCCCAGAGCCTTTGATCTGAGAAGCTCATATGCATTTGCTGACAGCCAGACAGAAAAGGTGGAGCCCAGACCCCAGACAGAAAGAGTAATGAATGGAGGCCGAGTTTATTTGTATTTCTACTCAGCAAGCTCATTTCCAGATCAGCTGCGTGTCACTGCAAGCCAGAGCAGGAGCAGGAGAAACCTCTTACTTTCCCTTCTGACCTCAGTGTTTAGTGCCCACGTGGCCACTGAGGTAGGGATTTACCTTTATTTCCCCAGATTTGGTAAATGGTAAATGCTGTCATCTGGAGGACCATGCTCTGTTTCTTAATGTAGGCTTCCTCTGTGTTAGCATTCAGATTGTGCCTTGCACATTTTGAAGTCACATCCACATACTGTCACCCTCTGGGTCATACTCATTGCTGGGTATCTTGGAGCTTTTGGTACAGCACCAAGCCTCTATTTCTGTATAAAATCTTATATTAAAAACCAGTTTACTAAATAAATAAAAGTAGAACTACAGTATTTGAAGCTGAGAAATGGGTAGGTATTAGCTCCTATCTATTTAATTAACTCTTGTCCTGTGGAAACAGTTTGTTGAGACACTCTCTAGGATTTTATTGTCTATCTTGTCTGTCTATATGTATGCCTCTCTGTCTGTCTGTTTATTTTTAAGGTGTATTAGTGTTGGTCTTCAAGTATGTGTGTAGCATACATGTACCTGGTATTCAGGCTGGAAGAGAGCTTGGGATCCCCTGAAATTGGAGTCACAGATGGTTATGAGCTGCTGTGTGGGTGCTAGGAACTGAATCTGGGTCCACCTACAGGAGAAGCAAGTGCTCTGTACTGCTGACCCATCTCTACAGCCACAATTATTTTTATCGGATGCAGCGTGTTTGTATGTGTATGACATGTGTGGAGGGAGGAGGTCAACATTGTGGAGTTAATTTTTGCCTTCCACCAGTGTGTGGATTCCAGGACTGGAACTCAGGATGTCAAGTTTGTGCTGCAAAGGCTAATACATACTGAGACATCTTGCTGTCCTGCTTCTTATGATTTTAAGAATTCTTCAAAATTTCTGAACTGGATCGTGAGTGTATTTTCCTTCACTCATAGTTTCCCAAGCGCCATCTGTTAATATCAAGCATATCCCCAGAATTACCTTAGCATCATGATAGATACCAAAGTAGACAGGTGACAAGGGCTCACGTCATTAAATGTTAATAATATGGTTTAAGAAGTGAGAGAAAATGAAAGAAAGAGACATATTTATTCAGAGTTGGGACTATAAAGAAACGATTATTACATAGATTCAGTCAGAGCATTACTGGATATAAAAGATGTGCAGAGGGCTGGAGAGATGATGGCTCAGTGGTTAAGAGCATTGTCTGCTCTTCCAAGGGTCGTGGGTTCATTTCCCAGCAACCACATGGTGGCTTACAGCCATCTGTAATGAGGTCTGGTGCCCTCTTCTGGCCTGCATACACACAGACAGAATATTGTATACATCTTAAATAAATAAACAAATAATTAAAAAAAAAAGATGTGCAGAGCAGAAGAGAAAGTCAGAACACCATGAGCAAAGACACAGAGATAGGAACTACTAAGACCACAATAGGAAGCACAGTGAGCCCAGACTATATCCAGGGAGCTCCTGACAAAATGGGCCTAATAGGAAGTTTCCCAATGGAACAGACCAGAAGAGGAAATCATGTCCATTCCAGATAATTCCATTTATACCACTTGCCACTTATAACTGATTTCAATGGTTTATTAACCCCATTTCAAACACCTAGTAATCCAAATACTTGAACATTAAAAGATTTCCCCCCTTAAAGCTGCAGAAGTTTTAGCAAGCATAACTGTCATTTAAACCAAAATTGGCTTGACCTGATGCTCATGCTTCCCTCATTATATTGTTTTATGGAAAATATAAAACCGGAGTACTAACTTAAAAGAAGGGTATAATTTGTGTAAGCTGATGATAGACAGAAGAGAATTTCGGGTTGGGAAAAATATCTGAGTATTTACATCTTGCTTGTAGAATCATTTCATGCAACCTACAAATTTAACATGTGGAAAGTAAGGGCTACACAAAGCAACAGTTTGTCTAGTATAAATAGCAGAGCAAGACATCATGATGTTTTCTTAACCATTAGGCCAGTCGTCTTTCCAAAGCATCATGAACAAATCACTTTATTATCTTTGTTATTTTCTGACAAGTACCAGCCCCTCAATAAATGCTTTCTGTGGGACCAGAACTTTAGTCATTTAGAGAATATTGGATTGACCTATGCTACTACTTATTTTTTATAACCCTCTAGAGACCACGGAGTTGGGCAGCAAGAAGGAACTGAAATCCATGCCCTTCATTACCTACCTCTCCGGTCTACTGACAGCCCAGATGCTATCAGATGACCAGCTCATCTCAGGTGTGGAGATTCGATGTGAGGAGAAGGGCCGATGTCCGTCTACCTGTCACCTTTGCCGCCGGCCAGGCAAAGAGCAGCTGAGCCCCACACCAGTGCTTCTGGAGATTAACCGTGTGGTACCACTTTACACCCTCATCCAAGACAATGGCACAAAGGAGGTGAGCGTCTGTGGCCCAGGTGCCAAGTGAAACCTGGCCTACACTCGAAGCTCCTGTCCTTACGGATGCTTTGCCAATGAGGACTGTCCTCAGTGACAATAGCAACATGGTGATTCCTGCCACCTATTTTCATCATTTTATCCCAAATAGGAGGTACCTATACAAAACCTTCATAGTTCCAGTAACTATATAGTTTCATGACACTAGCTGCAATAACTGATAAATCCCCAAATCTCAGTTTCCCAAAACAGTAGATATTACTTTATTTGTGTGGAATCTCAAATTAATGATTTTGATTAATAGGCAGCTTTCCTCTGAGAGGTGGTTCAACACCATAGCCTGGTATACTTTTGTACCATTAACCTGGCATTGCAATGGTCACTGTTGAAGAATATAGAATTTGGGGGGGGTGGTTATATGTCAAAGTTTTCAATGAGCCAGGCTTTGAAGACAGCAAATGTCAATTCCAGTCCCTTGAATTATAGCAGCTCAGTCATTGTCTATAACAGAGACAGAGAAACATATTTGAACTGAGGAACCTACAGGAAGAATGCATGGGTTTGGTAAAAACCTAACAATGCTTGTCTCATTACTCTCAAGCCTATGCTATACTTAAAAATACTGATCCATTTGAAATCCCTGTTGTTTGGCCATTTTTGGTTACATAATAGCAATTCTATATGATTGATCCTACAGAGAAAACCTCATGGATGTGGTGTTTTTCTCAGATTTGTTCCCTTGTAGAACTTACATGCTTAACCATGAAATGACACTATCTCCATACCATGTACTTCTTAACTACAACATATCAGTACTAGGAAGGGGCCATATGGAAGCTTACAGACAATTTTATTGGGGTTTTGAACTCCAGAGCTGGCACGGTGTCTATGTCAGAAGGTACCCAGAAGAGGATAATTGAAAAAAAAAATGGGGAAAAGAACACACCATTTGGTTGACCACTTTGGAGGTCATCTTCATAATGGCAACTGTATGGTGAGGAAGAGAGATTTAGAGAAAGAGCAATGACCAAAGCATTGGGGAAAGCGTGGTAAAAAAGAAAAGAAAAGAAAATAATAGCCAAGGGGAAGACATACTTTTGGAATAATTCAGAAGAACAGGAAGAATTACAAAGTGTAGTGTCCATGGCTCTGTAAGCTACTGTGCTTGGGGAGGGTATTTGAGGAGTAAAACTCATCATCTCATGAAAGGGATGGTTCTTCTGCCTAGCTCTCTAGTACTGCATTTCTATAGAAAATCTCACCTTCCTAAGGGATGGTCCCCGGGCCACATGGTTGACTAACCCATCTGGAATGTTAATTCATGAATTGAACATGTTTTTCAATACATCATTTCAGGAATTTATGGAACCACAGTCCCACAAATCAGGACTATGAAAATATTGTATGTCAATGAGGAAGATGAAGTAGATAAGGCACAGACTAGTTAGTGCCCATTCTTCTCTCTTTGGCAACTCCTAAGAAGCCCCAGGGCACTGAAGATGTCAATTTGGTAGACCAACAACTGAGCTCCAAAGAACTCCATGGTGTACATGCCTCTTTCACAGTATAGTACCACGCTAATGGGGAGAAAGTGGCACAGGTGCTTATAGGGCTTTTTGGAGGGAAAAAGAGATGCAAGTCAGAATGTGAGTAGACCAGCAGGCAGATGACCTAAAAAAGCACAAGGTCTCCCCAGATTTAGAAAGCATTTCCCATGGTTAAGGCCAAGAGATAAAGGGAGATCCAGGTGAGTCCAAGGGGGTCGAAATAGGTGTGTTCATTTGGAATGATGTAAGGTGGAATTTGTGAACTAATTTTAGAGCAACGAGGTATTAGTAATGTATGGTTAGCAGGAAGTTGGAAAGATTAAATTTGTGTTGCAGATTGATCTCTGTGTAAACAACCCGTATTACTACAAATGATAGAGCTGTCATGTAATGTAATAAAGTAGACATTAAGGAGCCCCAAATTAATGCACTACAGGGAAGTTTGTCAATGTGATATGAATGAACAGTGCGTGAAGTAAAGAAAATATGTTCCAAAGAAAGATTTTTATATAGCAAATACCCTTTCTCATTTTATAAGTTAAAGCACGCATACACTTCTTCAGTTCAAATGTATTTCCTTTTATGACTAAATGCAGCATGGTGTAACTATGTACAAAAGCAAACAAACAAAGAAATAGTAAATATAGGCATGATGGAAGTTATGGAATGGTATGAGAAAACAAATGCTATATATTTTTAGTAAAGTTTATAACTTCTTTTGCTGGTAGATTTGTTGGAGTGTATTATGACATTAAAACTGACTTGGATATTTTATAACTGAATAAGCAAATGCATATGTAATGAAATTGTAATGAATTTATAACAAAGCATAATATATCATGGGTAGTCTATTTCTGTGGGTAAATTGAAGATCATCAAACTAACTGTGGTTATACGAATGAGTTGTCCCCGAAAAGTCTTAGGCATTTGAGTGCTTGGTTCTCAGTTAATAGTTGTCTGGGAGAGGATTAGGATCTGTGGCCTTGCTGGAGGAAGTATGTCAGAGGAGAGGGGACAGGCTTTGAGGTTTTAAATGACGTGGGCTATTACAAGAATGCTTCTTTCACTTTCTGTTCTTAGTTCTGGCTGCTGCCATGCCTTTGCTATGATAGCATGGACTCTAACCCTCTGAAGCCATAAGTCCAATTAAATGTTTTCTTTTAAAGTTGTCTTAGTCATGGTGTATTGTTGCAGCAACAGAAAAGCAACCAATACATTACCAAAGACCAACCATCAAACCGTACAGGTATTTTTATACACCTATGCCTCCAGATAATCGATAGAAGTCTGGTTACTGATTAAGAAACTATAAAACTGAAACCCGGGCTGCCTGTGAAGAAGCTCTTGCAGTTTCTGATAAGCAACACAGGTGATCTAATGGGTGTTGTGCCTCTCTGAGATTTCATGAGTAAGACTGTGTATATCTCATTTCCTGCTGTGTGAATCCCGCAGCGGATGCCTCTGTAGGTCAAACACTGTTCATCTCTAGTGTGGTAAAGCTAAGCTGTGGCGTCCTTGCAGCATGTTCTTAGATAAGTGTGGAGTTGGGATGTTTTGGGCTCTTTTCTTTTTGGCTCAATCAAGGATCCTTTGTGTCTGGATTTTTTTGCCAGCTTTGCTTAGCATTGTTGAAATACTCAATGTTTTTGGAAGCATTTCTAAATTTCTAAAGTAAAGTGTTTCTAAAATCAATTCATGGTCCACCAGAGAATGTTAAGTTTGGGAAAGTGGTCGCTAGATGTCACTGTAAGAGAGCTGAGAAGCTGCAAGGTCTAGCCATTCACTCACTAGTTCAGTAAATATTTTTCAAAACACCCTTTATTCCCAGTATTGTGAAAAAGGAGTAGTAGAATAAATAGCTGTGGTCTTCACATCCCTGATTCTGGGAATCTACTCTAGCTCCATGTGTGTATAACCTGTAAGGACTGTGACACTGAAGAGCACCCCTATTTTCCTAGATGGTCTTTAACTCCATGGAATCTACAGATCTGTGGAGAAGACAGATATTCATGAAGCAGTCACACACAATGAAGCCGGAATGTACAAAGTCTCAGCTTGTGGGTTGAAAATGCATGCCAAGGAACTTGGTAGGACCTGAGAAGGCTTCTCTGAGGAAGTAACATCTATACAAAGTCCCAGCAAGTGGCTGTATTAAGCGGGTGTGGGGAACAGGGCTTGCTGGACATAGGTCACAGGGGCACTCCAGATGAGAGAGCCAGTTTGCGTGCCCCTCCCTGAATCAAATGGCAGGCTTTTCTAAAGTGTCATGGCACCCCAAGCACTGAGATATTTTCAAGTGATTCAGACTGTAGTCAGAATATGTGGAATTACCTACTGCCATTCTGTAAATGATCCTGACAGGGCAACATGGCCACCCAAGAAGGCTGGGGGAGGGCGGTACTCACTCCCATTTTGTCCATTTGTTTTCCACTTCCAACTTAATCTTCTATCGCCCCCTCTTCTGTGGCTTCTCCCTCTCTTCGCCATCTCTCTTGCAGAGGAGCGGCTGTATAGATAAAACATTAAAAGGTCTAGATTAGGGGCTAGAGAGATGGCTCAGTGGTTAAGAGCACCGGCCGCTCTTCCAGAGGTCCTGAGTTCAATTCCCAGCAACCACATGGTGGCTCACAACCATCTGTAATGAGATCTGGTGCCCTCTTCTGGCATGCAGGCATACATGGAGGCAGAATGTTGTATACATAATAAATAAATACATCTTAAAAAAAAGGTCTAGATTACAAGAGGGGCCTCATGTGTGCCCACCTCACCTTCTTTCCTCCGAAGTAGGCACTGTAAGATCACAGCTCACAGATGTCTACACTGAAGTTCACGAATAACACTCAGCATTACAGTCACTGGGGTGGAGGCAGGATTTCAAGCCAAGCAAGAATAGGACAGAGCCTACGCTATCTGCTTCTATGGAGACAAAGTTTCTTGTGAGAAACTCAGAACAACATGATTTTTATCTCATTCAATTTGTTCTATTTTTCTGGTGGGAAAAGAAAAAACCCCACAGGGCAAAGAACTTTGCCAGGACCTTGCTGTGATTCAGAACTGTCCTCCTACTCTAGTCTTGGCATTCTAGTATTTTATCTACGAGATTCAGAACAATATGACCATTTCTTGTGCTCCCTTTGGTACCTCCTCTTCTAGATAATACTTGATGATTTTGTTGATGCCCAAACTAAATGTTGTGTTCAAGTCAGATTCACAATTTCTATGAGATCCCATTAGTTGACTAAATCACAAGTAGATTGTGACTTAACTGACTTTTGTGGGAGTGTCCTGGACTCTCTGATCCTGAATGACAGCAGGAATAAGATCTGGATGTTTGGGGGCAACTGTTGGATACTACCTTTTCTGGTGGTTGGGGTGTCTTAGGGTCAGTTCCAGTGAACATTGGAGGAAAGGATGACACCTTTTGCTTTAGCTAGAAACTAACCTCTTTTTTGTC